CATTGGGCTTCCTGTGCTGAGAGTTGTTGTGGGCTGGAAACTAGACAAAATTTGACTCTCCCACAGTCTCCTGCTCTGCTTTTGGTCTGCAGTAGGAGAATGTAAAGGTACAATACTTGAAAGGCATTAGGCTGCCTGCTCTGCAATGGGRTTGGCATGTATGGTTACAGATTTTAACCTGACTTCTGATAAAGGCTTATAAKTCTTCTCATTCACAGGCAGTTTTTCAAGCTCATCCAAAACATCAAGGCCATCAATCACCCTGTTGTAAAACAATAAACATTAATTATATTAGCAATACTACATTTGCAGCCATTATCACAGGGCTCWAAATAACGGCCAGTCAAAGGACAATGTCCTCCCAAATTCGCTACATGACCGGCCAAATTGGGTTTTGAAAGGACAAAMATGAATTTGGAAGGACATCTTGTCCTGCATATGTCTGGCCGTTATTTCAAGCCCTGTTATCATTATTGTGCTAATTACATTATGGATGTTATATAATACAATCAGACTATAATTCTCCAGGGAAACAACAACAAATATCTTGTCTCCATAGAGAACGTACTTCTGCTAATTATCTAAGCAGAAGACTGACTACTTTTGATAATAATGCAATCATGCTTACTTTCCAAAAACAGTATACTTCATGTCAAGATGAGGTTGTTTAGCATATGTGATAAAGAACTGGGATCCATTAGTGTTAGGGCCATTGTTTGCCATTGAAAGAGCACCTCTGGCATTATGCTGGAGACAAAAAAAGGGTTAGCTAAGGACATCAGTTTCAAAATTATTGGAACACTCCATTTCATAGCTCCAAACATTATTTTGAAAAGTAGCCTATCCTTAAAATGAGACAGCGGTAGAGCTTGCAATGATAGATACCTGTGAATAATTGTATATTAGTGTGAACAATAGGTACGTGTACCTCTATCACTGAAGGCTCAACTCTCTCTCTTTATTGTGCATGCTTATCTACCTTTCAAAATGGCACTTGGAACTGTAAAATGGAGTGAGATTGTCCACACAAATGGAGGTATTTTTTTTATTTTTCTAAAGTGGGTTGCTTAAGATGTCTTKCAAGTTATAACTGCACATTTGGCATATACTCACCCTTAATGATGGACTGAGCTCATCTTCAAACTTTCTCCCCCAAATACTTTTCCCACCTTTGCCACTTCCTGTCATAAAATAAGGAATGTGTTGTAATGAACATCCTTGTATCATGCAACAAGCAGCAATCTGCAGATACATTTGTACTTAAAACAATACAACTAAATTAACAAGTAATATATACAGGCTATAAGCAATACCTGTAGGGTCACCTGTTTGAACCATAAACCCTTTAATGTTCCTGGAAAAGGAAAAAAAAAAATACTAAGAATTGCAAAAAAGTATTGTCAAAATTTATTGTCAGTAGTACAGTGTTTTATCATTGTTAGCTATTATATAAAAGTTTCAAAATATATATCAAGAACGATTTGTACAAAATAACATACCTATGAAAAATACAATTCTCGTAATAGTTGCTGGCACATAAAGCTAGAAAATTCTGAAAGAATTGATAATGTTAGAATCTTGGGATTCCTGTGGAAAGCACAAAAATGTTTGTTGTTTATGGAACTTCAGCAGTAAATGTCTAGTGGTAATGGTTACCACTATTTATTATTTAGCAAACCATAACAGCATTAAAAAATGATTTTAAACTTCATAACAACCATACATACATGGCACGTTTTCGGCGTCTCTTCACAAAATAATTCAATCTTTAAATCTCCCAAATCAGTGTGCAAAGTGACTGCCTGGAGAAATAACTTTGTTAGTGAAGAAACAAGATATCTAACTTGGGATTCATGCGTCAATATTTACCATAATGTCCACTTAAAAASTTCAAAATCTTATTTCTATCCAAGACTTGTGAGTCAAACATCCTTCAACTCGACCGCCATTTTGATACCTCGTTTGCATGTTAGTTACCAGCCTCTTTTGAGCTGACYCAGTAACGCCTGGAAGAATTGAGCCGAAGTTGGCTCAAAATGATAGACGTTTCGCGTTTGTCGGTAAAAAATGCCGAGAAAGAAGCCTTTTAGTAACAARCAAAAGAAGAAGCAGCTTGTACAAAAGCGGCAAAGAAAGAAGGAAGTCGATGAAGGTGWGTAACGAATTATTTCTTACGAATATCGGATGCAAATCATGTTTTGAATGTGCAGTAGAGCTTGTTATAAATATTTCAAACTGAATGGTTTACACGAAGAAATTACTAAAATAATGAAATTTAGAATCTCTTTTTAAGTGAYTATCAATTTTTAGTGCTGGAAAATGTTTTAGTATAACAAAAAAATGTTTGGAACGGCGCAAAATGTAAATTGTGTAAAAATTGTTTTTCGCACAAAAATTGCGGTGCGCACAAGTAATCCCAAATTAAGCTAAATTCAATTGTTCATCTTTAAAATAACTTTATATTGTCAAATCAAGTTATTAATAGGTTCCTCACTTAACGTTCTATTTTTACAACATCCATAATGCCTAACTGTAGCTATTTAATCTAATTTTGAAATTTTGCGCACAAAAAAGCAGTGCACACAAAACGCAGTTGTTGTTGTTGTTGTTTTTATTAATTAATTTATTCTTTTACTTTATTTTATTTTTCTTTGCTTTTTTCAATTCATAATGATAACAAAAGCTTCATAACCTTATTGAATCTTATTAATTCATAGATGACACAAGAAGACGCACAAAGTCCAGTTCAAGTGAAAAGCATGATGATGACAGTGAAGAAAAAGAAAGYGATACTGAAGAACGTGAAACAGTTGGACTCCACCTTCAACCAGCCTTGGAGAAGGTTGATAAATCAAGGGACCCCAACAGGTAGAGGGAGGGGAGGGAGGGGGAGCAATAGGAAAAGGAGCATAGCGATGAGAAAGGAGACTGAACCCAATAATCCTTTAGCTTAGATCTTGGTACCTTACATCTTTTATAACAGTATCAGTTTTCCTATTTTCAAGGTTTGTTTTGAAATTTGGTAAAGAWTCTAAAGCAGAACTTGAGGAACGAAAGAAGCAAGCACATCAACCAATCATTTTAACAGAAGAGGTAATTATATCGTTATATGTGCAACCCAATATGATATATCATGTCTTAAGAGAAACTTCATTGCAGTTTCTTTTTTTTTTTAGTTTTTTTTTAGTAAGTAAGTAAGTAAGTAAAGACTTTATTTAAAGAGGGTAAAAACACATAATAGTATATACATACTAATAAACTTGTGGCCCTCTATACTAAAACTATATAACTATATAATAATGTTAAAAATACATTATATATATAAAAATTGAATAAATTGAAGAAAAAGGCACGCAACTTGCAACTATATATATATACACATAACTATTTGCAATTTATAATACTAAGTAGAAACAAATAATTAATAAGTAGATAAAAAATAAATAAATGAAAAAACTAATAAACTAAAAGAATAAAAATTATAAGAAATAATATTATGGACAAAAATGGCGCAAAACTTTCTGGCCAGCTAAAAACTGTTTCCTAATACTTTTTCTAAGGGCCATTACAGAAGAGCTTTTCCGGATAGTAATAGGTAGCGAATTCCAAAGTGTAGTCGTGGTTACGCTAAATGTGCTTCCACCTTCCGTTTTTCTTTTAAAACGGGGACAAATAAAATTAAGATTACAATATCGTGTTGTCCTTGAATGTCTTTCGCTATTTAAAGTTAATATCTCCGATATGTATTGCAGAACTTCATTATTTATTCTCTTAAAAGCTAACGAACATTTCTTTATTTCATAAAGCATGACCTGGAAAAGTCAATTGAATCTRTATACAAACCTGGCTCAGGTAATTAAATACAATGTATCTAGTAGTAAAAAAAATTGTAAATCAATTGCTCAAGATAAACCTACTTACATCACAGAAGCTTGCATAGGCGCGTGCTGCAACAATGACAACCTATTGAAATAAAGCACATCTTAGCTATTCGTTCTTATCAATTTCAGTTCTTGACATGCCTAAGAGACCGTCATGGAACTATAAAATGTCCAAGCATAAAGTGGAGAGAAATGAGGAAGAGATGTTTGAAGAATACAAAAACAAGATTTTTACTGAATATAAAAACACAGAGTTGAGCTACTTTGAGTGCAATCTTGAGGTATGTTAATTAGTATCCATCAAGGACTTATAATGTTCAGTTATTATATTATAGTAAAAATGCGTGCGCATTTCATTTTTTTGCAGACATGGCGGCAACTGTGGAGAGTTCTRGAAGTGTCAGATATTGTTGTCATTGTTGCAGATGTGAGATTCCCGGTAATAAGTAGTTACTGTTAGTACAGTTTATTTTTATTACTCAATTACTATTATTTTGATTGTAATTGAAGTCCTGTTATCATCATTTCTACAGCATATTGCACTCACATTATTTGTCCACTGAAAAAAAAAACATTCAAATTACCTACTAGTTTGTAATCTAGTTATAATCATTTTTTGTTCAGATTCTGCACTTTTCCCCAGCACTGTATGATTACGCGGTCAAGGAATTAAAGAAGCGTGTGATTCTTCTTCTCAATAAGGTCACTACATGTTTTTGTTTCATGATATACACAAAATTTCAAAAGCATACAACATATGTGGGAACCTATGGGGGTTGGGGAGGAGTTAGGAGGATTGACAGGAAATTTAATTTAATAACTTTTTTATTGATTTTTTAGATTGATTTAATTGATCCTGAACTTGTTGTTGCATGGAAACACTACTTTAAATCCAAACACCAGGATCTTGATATTGTATGTTTTACATCATTCCCAAAAGACAAAAACGAGAGGAAAATTCATCATGAAAGAGGTAATTTAGATCTTCATTTGATCCCTTTAAATAAAAATTAAAAGAAGAAATATTGAATGTTTCATGTATTTCCATCTTTTAGTTCTCAAAAAAGCCAAGAGGAAGAAAAAACTACAAAATTTTGCAGTTGGTGCAAGAGAATTGTATGAATCCTGTTCACGGATATGTGGGAACAGAGGTAATGTCTCTACTGCTACGCTGTACACGCTAATTCATAGGTTATTGGATTCCATCAAATATGCACATTTGAGCTGTACTACATATGACAGCTCTGCTCATGCTCAAGTTTATCATTACTGGTATTCTTAGTACTGCATGCAGTGCCCATAATAATCAGTCACCAACACATTTATTCATTTTTTCTCTCAGTTGATTTAACTGACTGGGAAATTCAACTTGAAAACCRGTCAAGAGGATTAGAAGAAGGCCAGAGTGAGAGTCTCAGCAACTCAGAGGAATCACAAGGTATTTGGTAGTTAAATTATTTATTAACTTAAATTTTAAATTATTTGTTAACTACTATTTACTAGGTTGAATACAACATTATCCATTTTCTCTTTTCATTCATTCATTCACCCACATTATTTTTCTCAATCCATCAATTTCATCCATTCATTTATTTTTCTAATCATTCATTTGTGTACTCAATAGATGAGGAAGCCAGTCCCATGGCAAGACACCATGAAGATGTATTGCATAATGARGATATCCTTACTATTGGCCTTGTAGGTATGCTATTATGTTATTTATAAATACAACTCACAAGGTTTAAAAATGACATCTATTATACTTATATCAGGTCACCCAAATGTTGGGAAATCCTCTCTTTTGAATGGTCTTGTTGGAAAAAAAGTTAGTATAAACATTGAAGTTTGGCATACTTGAGCTTTTTGGTCGTACTTGTTTTGACACTTATTATAATTTTGTTTACTTTGCCAAGGTTGTCAGCACCTCAAGAACTCCTGGTCACACAAAACATTTTCAAACTATATTTCTCACTCCAAGTGTTCGGCTTTGTGATAGCCCTGGATTGGTATTCCCATCTTTGATCGAAAAGCAATTACAGGTAATTGATGTAAGACTTGAGTCTTATGAAAACATTATTTAACTCACCCTCCCACTCCTATTACCAATTGCATTCAATAGATTCTGTCAGGGCTGTACCCAATCTCTCAAGTGCAAGAACCATACACAACTGTTGGGTATCTAGCAGCCAGATGGCCTGTGATACAGTTACTACAACTTGTACATCCAATTGATAGTGAAACTTTAAATGCWGAGGAAAAGAGACAGTCTATAGGACACAGCAAGCATCCTTGGTCTTCTATGGATGTCTGTGATGGTACTTTACAGTACATTTTCAAATATAGGTCTTGTTTCAGAGTACATTTTTTTCTTCCAAATGCTTGATACATTTAATTTTTTTGCAGCTTGGGCCGAACAGAGAGGATTTTTRACAGCAAAGGCAGGGAGAAATGATACTTACAGAGCAGGTAACATTAGACAGGAGATTGGGCACTAATCAAAGAAATATTTATCTAATCACGAAACAAACCCCACCCCATGAAAGGTTAACCAAAAATTTGTAAATTTACCAAGTTTCAAAACGTTTGGATAAAAACTAGCTGAACAGTATTTATTCCTAGTTTCATCAAATTAACAAAAAATGTATTGTTTTGGGGGGTCTAACACTAGGTAGACTATAATACTGTACCGCACTAGGTACACTATCACACTAGGTAGACTAAGATACTGTACCCGACCGCAATAGGTACACTACAACACTAGGTAGACTATCGCACTAGGGTAGACTACGATACTGTACCGCAC